AGAGGCGCCCATCATGGTGTTCGTGATCAAGAACTTGCGTTCACTGACAGAAGTGCTTAAAATTAATTTGGCGCCTCTCACATTCTTGGCATTGCGTCAGGAGCAGCTTCATCTGCCAGTGCTCGTTCTTCAGCCCCTCTTCATTTGCTGTGGGTCGCGCTAGATCCGTTCTGCTTCCTTTTCAGCTCCTTTGCCGCATGCTTTGGACGTGTCAAACAAGGCCCCGCCTGCGTCAAAAGCCGCCCTAACAGTCTTAGCGTCCCCTGCGGAATGTAGGATTTGGCGGCCCACTCGCTTGGTCACATAGTCAAACTTCCAGCTCTGCTTTGCCTTCCTGCTTAAGATCTAACATCTTTTATCATTTTCAAAGTAGTTTGCCTCTGTTCAATCAGTGCAACGGTAATACCACAGTAAGATATTCAGAATGTCGGAGGGGCGCAGGCTTTGGTTGGAAGAGGAGCTCCAGGATGACCTCAAATGGTCTGTCCAGGTCAAGAGGTGATGACTCCTGAGATCTTGCAACGTTTCCGAGCTTCTGTGTGCTTTGATTGCACCATTACCAAGAAGGTGCCCGTCGAAGTTTGCTGCATTATCCACTTATTACCACCGATCAGTAATCTCTTGCGATCAAGAATGCAGTCCAAGATACAATAAAGTTTTGGGCAGTCACTTTTGCTGCATTGTTGCATATTTCGAAATCAAACCCAAGTTAGCATACAAAAGACTCAAGTTGCGCCCTAGTGCTGCACAGCTGGGTGGTTGCTCTGAGAACCTGATCAGCGTCTCGTTGGGCGCTTCAAAACTTTACCCACGCTGTTACTGCATATTGCTTGCTATGTTCTTCTTTGACCACACCTGACTTTTGAGAGTTCTTGTTTGCAGCATTCTGTACCAGGGGGCTAGCAAGTTCCAGGACATCGAGCTCATTGAGAGTGGCCCTTTCGGGAAGGTGAGTCTATGGCCTCTTTGGAAGCTTCTCATATTACTTCTTATGAGATCTGTCTATTACACCAAGGGAGACTTCGTTTCCATCAGGCTTGATTCAAGCTTTGGAAAGTGATCAATGAAAGCCTGCCTGATCTCTGATTTCTTAAAAAAAAAATGGTTTCCTCTCTACAGTTATTGATGCTGGATGGCAAGGCCCAGAGTGCTGAGGCAGATGAGTTTGTGTACCACGAGTCCCTGGTTCATCCCGCCCTGCTCTCCCACCCAAAGTAAGTGACAGACTCTATAATTGTTATACTGTCAGATGTAGTGATTGGCTGACGGTCGTCGGAGGGGGCAAGAATTGTTCAACGTACACGCCAGGAGAAAAAGTCATTCGACAATCTGGTTCCCTTGAGCAGTGCGGTCGCGGTGTTATCTTTTGGCAGGCCAGTAGTCAACACGGCGCCGAGGTTGATGTGAGCTCGTGAGTGGCATGATCCATTATGGACTTTGAAGACAGTGTTTTTATCTTCTGGCCTGTATTCCTGCAGCCCCAAGAAGATCTTCATCATGGGTGGAGGGGAGGGCTCAACCGCCCGCGAGGTAAGCCGATTCAGCCCCCTCCTGACAAGAAACTTGAGGCGTATTGAAGACGTGGGCAATGCTGAAATGTTGTCGTAAGGCTTGGGCAGATGGTCAAATAGGTGTCTCAGCATGGATTGCTGCCTCCATAGGTCATGAAATAGGTTAGAGACCGTTGACTGATGTCTGCAGGCGCTTTTTCCCGAGTAGTTGTGTCAAAGCACTCTAGCCTGGACACTTTGAAAAAGCTCCGACTGACCCTCCCGATTGATTACAGGCCCTGCGCCACAAGAGCGTCGAGAAGGTAGTGATGGTTGATATCGACCAGGTGAGCCCCATCGCCACTTCTAATCTCCTCTTCAAAGATCTTTCTGGCAGCTGGGGCTCTGTTGTCCTAGGCGTATGCTTCGCATGAAGAAGCGCGGTCGTGGGATTGCAAGGCGGGAGCAAGCTGTTATGGTCGAACGCCCAAAAAAGGAATGGGCGTGGGTTTGCTGATCAACATGTTGAGGGTCTCCTAGCACAGAGAGACACATCAATTGTTCAAGCATCAGGTGATGTGTTCGTCGTCGGTGTCTCCTGCCTCCTTGATAGGAACTCCCATTCTTGAGGCGATTAGTAGCTGGCTGAGGTGTTGGGCCAAGCCTTCAACTTTAGAGTATTTGCCGACCAGTGAAGCGGAGTTTAGTTGAACGGGCGTTCAATTTTTTCCTTCAATCTGTTTTCAGGTCGTCGTTGAGTTCTGCCGCGACTACCTGCCTGCGAATAAGGAGGCCTTCGAGGACCCCCGCCTCGAGGTCCTCTACAATGATGCCCTGTGAGTGTACGCAAAGTCTTCTTTAATAAAAATGGGGGGCGTTGCGCCTACAAATGAAGGCTTCTGCCTTTGGATATGCGTTTGCTCGTGACTCGAGGGGGAGAAAACTCGAAGCGCTGGGCTTCTGTTCTGACACCCGTTTGGTAAACCTGACAGAAGAAACATAGCTTTTTGTGCAAGCACCTGAACTGGAGTCGACTGGCTCAGAAAGCTCTCAGCTTAGGTCGATTTTGTTCCTTTGTCCCTTCTGCTTACCATGTTATCGAGCTTCTGCCACTCTTATGATTTCCTGTAAGCACCAGTCTGCCGCGCGTTGCTGGTCTCTGACCGTTGCTCCCCATTGCCCAGAGTCGAGCTGGAGCGGAGCACCGAGCAGTTTGACGTCATCATTGGAGATCTGGCGGATCCAGTAGAGGGTGGCCCATGCTACAAGCTCTACACCAAGGTGATTGTTGAGACTCTACTTATGTACTTCCTTTTGTAAGCTTGGTCTTTCCGCTTTGACTCTTGCTTCGGCTTGATTGACTTTTCATCGGTCTTCTGTATGATTCTTTCGCCACGTCGTTCGTCTCTGTACGAGAAGATGATCACAACATCAACAGAGCAGGCTTGGGCGGGCGCACAGCTATGCAGTGACTGCAAGAAGGCCTTCCGAGTACTCCATGTAGGGGCGCAACTTCTTCGAAGTTGCTCGTTACGAGTTGACAGCGTCTGTAGAGCCTTATTTCCCGCCTGAATTCGGTCATTCCCGGCCCGAAGTAGAACGGTTTTGCTTTCTGACAACATTGATTCCGACCAAGCACAAAGTATGAATGTTTGTTTGTGCTGCTGCAGTGGAGCTTTTATCATCACGGGCGATTATTGCTTCGAAAAGACACTCTCAACAGTCAGCGAGAGCGAGGAAAATGGAAAGGAGGAAAGGGAAGAGAAGTGCCTGAAAGTGAATGAACCTCTTTGTTTCGCAGGACTTCTACGAGAAGATCCTGAAGCCCAAGCTGGCCCCTGGCGGGATCATTGTCACGCAGGGTGGCCCCGCCGGCATCCTCTCGTACAAGCTGGTAAGAGCACGACGCAAGACTTCGGACCGGGTTTCTCGCTGGAAGGTCTCAATAGTTTCTTTCTCCTTGTCCGGTTTTCAAAGAGTTCCAAAATCGCAGATTGAAGGTTCTCAAACCTGCCGAGCGAAGGGGTCCAGAGGCAGTGTATCGATCTGCCTAGTCGCCCTTTGGGGGGTCCCTTAACACCAGAAATTGGAGTGGGCGTCATGTATAGAAGTCGAAATCAACCACTCTCGTGAGTAAGTGTCGCAGATATTAGTACTCAAATGAGAAAAAATGAACAGATATGCTCATCGAAACTGATCATTGTTTTTTAGCTTTTAGCGCTTTTCTTCGTTTTACCCAATCGTCGTTTGGGTATCCAAGCAGATGTCTGATCGCGTGAGCCTGCTTTGCAGGTGTACTCGTCAATCCACAACACATTGGCCCAGGTGTTCAAGCGTGAGGATCCTTACCCTTAGTTATGTGATTACTAGCTTGGTGGCCAAGCTCCAACTTCGATGCAAACCCTCTTGACTTGCAGGAACTTTTCTTGTAGGTTGACCCACTTTGATATGCGCTTTCCGCGACCTGCAACGACTTTTTCCGCGACCTGCAACGACGGAGTCTTCACGGTTGGAAAGACTTTTTGAAAGACTTCTCCGAAACTGAGGGCTTTGAGTTGTCAATGTTGAGCTAACTCGTATTCTGGATCACCAACGTGTCCTAGCATACGGGCCACACAAGTTGTGCACACAAATTGCGCACACAAATGCGCAGCGACTGTAAGAGCGACATGCCTGCTTAGCGCCCGCGTTTAGGGTAGTGTGTTAGGGTTACGCCACTTCCTGTGACGGTTTGTTAGCCGAGCTTCAAAGCTTGGCGTTGCACTTTTTGTCTCGCCCGAGTACAGTTTTACTTTTTACCTGGCCAAAATGAACGGGTCGCTTCTTCTTACCTGTCCCAACACCCTCACGTCTGCAGACACCCTGCCGTATGCGACCCACGTGCCGTCCTTCGCCGACCAGTGGGGCTGGATCATGGCCTCGGACGAGCCGCTGAAGGAGCCAGTCGTGGCGGACCTTGACGGTAATGATTGAACCAACTTTTTTGTAGAGCTTTGAACGCATTTAAGGTCTGTTTATGTCTCTTTGTCCAACATCTGCCTGGCAGTCTGTTCAACGGCTCATACCAAGGGCCCCTAACTTGATTGAGCATAATCCATGATTCACAAGGATGTCTTGCCAGATACTGTTGGTTTTGCTTCTCTTCGCGGTCACTTGGGGCGCTGCTTCATCGCTGCATTGCACGCCAATTGCGCTTTACCTCGGAAGGACGGATTGGGTGATATTGGCACCCCTTCTCCACGTGCCCGGTTCTTGCTGATCAACGCGCTGTCTTTGCAAGATGAAGCCGGTGCTCGTCGTAACATTGTGCGACTACCCTGCATATTCCACTCGCTTTCTGAAAGCTGCCCTCTTTGCAATCCTGCAGCGGCTATTGCAAAGCGGATCAACGGGGAGCTTGGGTACCTAGACGGCCGCACCCTCCAGGCAGAGATGGCCCTGAGCAAGGCGGTCAGGAAGGGGTGAGTGCACAGGCGATGCGCAAAGGAAAGACCGTCTGATGCTTGTCAATAGTCTGCTCTCCACCAGATGACAAACACTCTGCTCTTCATGAGCTTGCAGTTCTCTGGAAGGTGTTGAGTGCACAAACCAGTCATGAAACACGGAAAGGTTCTGGCGATTGGTGTAGATATCTCGTGAGCTTCTAAAAACGAAGGGTCAAGTGAGTGTTAGAGAAGCTTGCGTTGCGCTTTGCCTATGCTGGAAAGCTGGCATCTCCACAGCTACTTTTTTCAGCCGTGGGCGCTAGGCACTGGCTAGTATTCTTGATCTGGCCACTGTAAAGCTTGTCGAGAATGTGACACGAGATGCTGCGCCTCTTGTTGCAGTCTTGCCGCCGAGACTCACGTCTACACTGAAGACGATGCGCGCTTCATCCATGGCTCCGGCATTGTGAACGGTCACTGATCACCTAGGTATCTTTCGCCTGACCTAGTTAAGTTTGAGTGTTCAAACCTAGCTTGAGAGTAGAGATTACTTGTGTGCCTTCAATCGTTTATCGAGTCTTTTGCACTCTTCGTGATTGCTTGTTTAGGATTGTGAGCCACACTGTTCGAGGAGTTTCTCTTGGACCGCTACGACAACAAGCGCCCTTCTGCGGGTCCCGATAAACATTGAATACGTCTGTACTTTTAGCCATGATGCTTTTCAGTAAGTAGGTAACGAAATTGAACCCCGATTTGACACACTTGTCCTTGCTATTTGAGTACCATGTAATCATCAGTCGAGCCAGTGCGAGCTTTCTTGTCGCATCGTGCTTCCAGGCTATCTATCCCACTTCCCCTTAAATAGTTCTTGAACGCTGTGGACCAAACTTTTAAAGCTAATGGACAGTGCTTCGGAATGCAATTGCATCATGGCTAGCTTTACAAATCAGGGAATTATCTTGAGCGGATGGTCTAGAGACAGTCACAGCTGATGGAGACCCGGTCTGCAGGCTGCATACATTGGACTTAACGGTCTAGCTGCCATGTGAGGCATGCACACTTGACGCTACCATGGTTTTTGGAGGTTGCAAGGTCATTGCGAATGATAGTACAGCTAGCCCTGAACCCCCATACTATAAGATTGCATGCGCAATTCGGTGCGGCACAACGTACATGTATATTTAGCGGACAGTGGTCCTGATCAGTCACCTTGCCTAGCGCTTATCGGCATGCGGCCAATGAAGTTGTCACGTGGTTCATGTTACCACCGAGCTGAACTTTCCGGCCGATCTATGTATGCTACAATTGTTTTGCCAGCTTGTGTATGATTCAAAGGCTGCCGGCCGGGTATATACTCGATATATACTCTAGACTGAGCCATGGTGGCACTCATACTCGCAGCCGCTCGGTGAGCGCGTTGCCGCAATCGTCTTGAGAGTCTTCCTCCTGATCAACAAGCTGGGTCCGGTCCCCCAAACGGCCGGTGCGCTACATCGCTTTTGACCTAGTCGAACTCGTTCTACTTTCCACTGCCTGAAACCTCAATTCATCTAAATTGACGTGCCAGAAATGGAAGTCATGAGGTGGTTGCCAAGGGATCCACGAATTACACAGTAGCGGGCTTCCTTATTCCCCCATTGTTTATGGACGGTCTTATTCAAATGTTTCGATCGACCCTTATACCTCTAGAGGGCCTCGTCTCTTTTCGGAAAGCGCTGGACCCTCTCTCCTATGCTACATTCGTCCTCGAAAGAATCGCGTTCTGAAGAACGCCATTTGTTCAGTACATACACGACTAAGTCGCAGTCCATGTGGAAACAGCCTGCACATCATTCCCCTCCGCTTTGTCAGTTTTTGGACCAATCTGCGCTAGTAAATTTCGTGTCCCCGGCCCGGTCCTCAGTCAGATGCCAATGGCGCGATCCCAAAACCTGCTGAGTGTCCTACTTTTATGCGGCAAGTCTTTCTAAGAATCTCATCTATCAGTGCGCGCAATTGAGGCGCGGAGTCGCGCAATGCGCGCCCCGACCTCTCTTCGACGACCGAGCTGCGCAAGAACCTTTGCGAGCGCGTTTCGTGCGCTATTGCCCGCGCGCACCCCGGCTGTCGGCCCAGCCAAAGACCTTCTGCAGGGTGAGCGGCGGCAGGTGAGGGGGCGCGCGGTCGTGCACGTACACGCGGATGAGCTCGCGCAGGTCGTTCATGCGCATCGGCTTCTCGATCACCTGGAACGGTAACCTAATGGGTTAGCGCTAACATTGAAATGATCATACGAAAGCACTGGACCACGTTGGGGATAATCGAGGTTTAGCCCGTCGCGAACATGCTTCGCCTTAGCTTTTTGATTGCTCGAGAAACCTGATAAACGCTTGCGCCTCTTCAAGCAAGGCGGGCATTGCTGAGGTCATACGTTCGTGATTTGCTGTTAACTCGACCTCTAGTATTAGTCTTGCAGTCATTGGACCTGTCTCCCGACGGAGAAAGGAAAGGAATGAGGTGAGGAAAGGAGATGCAGCACCAGAATACGTGCGACACCCCAGGGCCTCCCTCCTGGGATTAATCTCGACTCTTTCCCAGTTTCACCTTCCATTTGGAAAAGGAAGGAGGGGGTGGTAGCCACCCAAATCAAACGGGGGGTGCTCTTAGAGGGTCTGGAGAATACGTTGAAGAACAATCATATGGTCTTACAAGCTCTTAAGGAGATCAAAACTTGCACGGAGTAGAAGATCGAGGGCCGCAGCGCGCGCGCACCTTGGTGGCCCCGCTGGAGAGCATGAGCGCCTCCTCGCCCGGCATGACGTTCCCGGTTACAAAGATGATGGGCAGCAGGTTGTGCTTGGGCCCCTCAGAGGGATCCCACGGGCCGGCCGCGGCCGCACGCGCTCTCGTCAGCTGCTGGTGCTCCCAGTGCCGGATGAGCTCCGTGGCGCGCCGCCCGTCCATCACCGGCATCTGGACGTCCTGGGAAACGAAAGAACTAGGGATGGTGAGAAAAGAAAAATACTTCGGAGTAATGGTTAGAAGGTTTTCCAAAGAGTGTGCTACAGACTATCTTAAAGCCTGGATATGACTTACAATCCCCGTCCATCACCGGTATCTGGACGTTTGGCGAAACGAAAAAGCTAGGCAAGGTGAGAAAACGTTTACTCTTCGGAAAATAGTCAGAACTCTTTCAAAGAATGCTGCAGTCTATTTCAAAGCAGAACGGCTCTCCTTCTAGAAGATTTCTCCGCCACACATTCAATTTAGCGTCAGGAAATCTCAACAAACGACACTTGAGATCCACCATGATTTTTACCGCCTAGCCGTTCTTTCCATAAAGAAGCACTCCCTCCTCCCCCCGACTTTCGACGCCCAGTATTACATAAGGCTTTTGCCCTGAACTACGACTAGTTGAAGGGCATCAAGGCAGGAATGACCGGAGGGAAAACAAAACGAACCACGTTCCTTGGGTAGAAGGGCACTTGCCTAACCACAAACCAAGCTTGGTTAAATGATTCCTTCCTGTTGTGATTCTCACCATCAGAATGAGGTCGTAGTCTTTGGTCACGACGGACTCTTCCCCTTCCGCCCGCGGCACAGGCGCCCCATCGACGGCCGGCTTTTGCCCGGTGACGGCAACCACGGCTTCCAGACCGTTCACTGACGTGTCACACGTGTGGCCCAGCACGTGAAGGATCTTCTGCAGAACCAGCCTGCGCGCACGTAACAAGCGGAGCTTAGAAAGCTGAAAACTTAGGGGTTGGTTTCCGGGATGGCTTGTGTAGATTACGGCTTTTTGCGAGCCTGCCTGTCAAAAACAAGCCATCGTCTTGTGGGGAGTCGTTTGCTGGACCGAAACGGTAAGAGTCAGCTGAAGGTTGGCATGTGGCTCGATCAAGTCAACGTGATTGCTCCATGAGTGTGTCTGAGCCGTTTCCGTTCTTGCCGAAAACCTGAGCACGCGCAGCTCAAATCATGATTCCTTCGGGAACCCAATCTGTTTGGTTACCGCTTCATGATGAAATAGGGATACGTGCATTGATCACCATGGACGTGCGACGACTAAAAACACATTCGTCATCTCTTCGTTCCTTCGACCCTGCTTTTCCTCGAACCTTCGTTTCCGAGGACAATCCAAACGTTTGCGCTCCTCGCTGTTCTACGGAAGTAATGACGTCTCTGCTCTTTCTCGACACTTGGCCCCAAAAACCCCGCTGTATTGATCATCGAATTGTTTATTCATTCTTCAACCATGTGTTTATTTATTCAGACATAAAAATAAACACATGGATTTATTTTTAAGTATAATAAAAATGTATAACAAATAAGTAATAAATAAATAATGAATAAATAATTGCATCCGTTCGCTTTTTGTCCGCTCACCTGTTCGTGTGCACGTCATCCACCACGAGGCAGTGCAGCTTCCGCTCCTCTCGCCCCGCCTCTTTCTTCGGACTCGGCAGCGCGCTCTCCGGCGTCGCGGCCGCGCTCTCGCCCTCGCCCTCTTCTTCCGCCACGGGGTGCACGCTCCGCTGACCGTGCAGAAAGTCCGCCCGGAAACCGTCTTCCGTTTCCGCCCCGGGGGATCCCCCGGCGTGCACCAGGACGGAACTCCAGCGGAACAGTTCCTTCCGGCTGGACGCCGTGGTCGGGGCGGCGGAACCGAGCAGCGTCGCGCCCTTGGAAAGGGACCGGGGGTTAGCGATTTCAATCTGACTAACCGCCCGAAGGGTTACCCCGACCGGCTTTTCCCTCGCGCGCCGCGCGGCTTTCGGCTGCGCCTCGCCGTCTGTGGGCGCATTCGCACCGTCTTTGGGCGCGTTCACACCGGGTTCCGCTTCAGAAGTCGCTTTCACCGGGGACTTCTTCCGGGCTCGCGCGAGCTGCGGAGGCTCCCGGAGGATGGGCGCCGAGGACGCTTCCTTTTCGCTCCGGGGGGCAGCCGCGGCAGGCGGGGCCAACCCCCCGGAAGAAGGCATCTGGGTCTTTGAAGTGGTGGCTTCGGTTTTGGAAGGAGGCCGAGTCCCTCGCGGTGTAGAACCGGGGGAGGTGTTACCGGCCAAAGATGCCGTGGTAAAGGAGAGGGAGGGCCCCGGGGTTCGGACCCGGGACAAGGGGAGCTCCACCCAGAAAGTGCTCCCGAAGTCTTCTTCGCTGCTGAAGCCGATGCTGCCATGCTGCGGAGAAACGAGGAAGAAAAGACTTATCACGCTCTGTGCGATCGATTTATAATCCTCCCCCCACGTGGATGTTCTGCCTTTCCTTGCGGCCTGATAGTAGAACGGATTTCGTTGAGCTGCGACAAAAGGAGAGTGGTGCTAACGTCTACTAGTAACGGGAGAGACGCAAGGCAACGCAAGCTCTGAAAGAAACGAGGCAGTAAAATGCATGTGGGTGGTCATAGATAGGCTGAAGAGCGTGCGGGAAATGATTGAAAAGACTTCGCGGAAGTGCACTGACCAAAGCTGAAGCTCCTAATAACGAAATTACATGAATCTTAATGCGGTAGGAAATGAGAGTTTACCATATGTTTGGTGACCAGCAGTTTGCTGATGTACAGGCTCAGCCCCACGCCGAGCGTGAGCCCCTCTTCCTGGTAGTACGTGTGCAGGAACGGCTCGAAGACGGTGTCGCGCGCGGCCGCGCTTAAACCCTGGCCGCGGTCGACGACCTCGAGGCGCACGCCCGTGTCGCCCTCCATTGTGCGCGCGTGCAGCACGGGACACGTGTCACCCTGCCGCGTCGCGCGGAGCGCGTTGGTCACCAGACTGCTCATTACCTGCGAGTAGAGTGGAGAATTTGATGTTGCTGAAAGCTTGACAGCATTCTCGAGGGTTCTCCAGCTGTGGTGGTCGTCTCGCACGGCAAGGAGGACTGGACAGCAGCCCACGTTCCTCTCTTTTGATCGTCGACGAGGCACGCAAGACATGGTCCTCGAAGCTCAAAACTTTTATGATCGGATGATCGGAAGCAACAAAACGGCGCACACACAAACGAGCAGCGGTTCTACGGGCCCTAATACATCTGCGTGTTGGTAACGTTGATCCTGCGTTCTGCGGTGTCTCACAAATGACTGTCAAGTGGTCAATCTCGAAATAGTCAAGAGGTGCCGAGGGTGAAACGGTGTTTAGGGTACACAGATGACGATCTTCGAAACTGTGAAAGTAGATTGAAACAAGCCAAACGAACCAGGCGTCACTCGTATGTTACCCTTTCGTTACTCGTATCTTACCTGCTCCATCCTGGCCCGGTCCATCTCGTACTTGGTCCCGCTGACGCCAGCATCGCACACGTACCGCAGGATCGCGCGCCCGTTCACGCGCCCCTCCCCGATCCGCCCGCCATCCGATTGCACCCACTCCCACCGCCCGCGCACTTTCTTCCCGGGGGGGTCCGACTGCCTGGGCCCCGGGCCCATGTCGCCCCCCCCCTCCCCTCGCATCGCGCGTTCGACCGCCGCGAAGCCCGAGTCACCTGACGTCAGCCGCCGGCTGTGCGACCGGATACGCGATACGGTCTCCGCCGTCTCCGCGTGCATCAGCAGCTGCGTCTCCGCGAGGCGCGTGACGTGGCGGATGACGTCAAGGAGCGTCCCGGAGGATTTGGACATCACGACCTGGCCCGCCTCCAGCCGCTGCATGTCCAGCAGGTCGCCCATGATGGTCTTCATAAGCTCGCAGCTCTTATCCGCGAGCGATAGGTTATCGTACACCAGCCCGTGGCACACCTCGCACCCCCCCCCGGCGGAGTGCGTCCCCCCCCGTGGGGGCGACTCTAAATACGGCAACCGTGGCAGCTTCGCGTGGCGCGAGAGTAGATTCACCGGGGGGCCGAATAGAGGGCTGCTTCCGCTGGAAGCCGAGCTGCGCGTGTGCCACGCGTCGGGCCACGATTTGTTGAGCATCGCCGAGTCGTCCACTTCCGAGGACAGCCGTGTGCGCCCGAAGTTCAGCAGCTCGTCGCGGCCGGGGCTCTCGATGCCCCTAAAAAACTCCCCCCCCAAATAGGGAGTCGGCTCTTCGCTGTGGTCGGCAGATACAGCCCGAGAGGACCGGCGGCTGCCGGCCGGCGTGACGAAGGAAAGGCACAGGTGGATCAGACCCATGACGCCATTCAGGGGGTTGCGCAACTCGTGGCTGATGTACCCCAGCTGAAGCGCGGACGTGCGCCGGGCGTCCGCGTATTGACTGCAAAAGCAAACGGAAGGATTGATTTCTGTGGTCTTGGGTTTCCTTGCATGCGTGCTGAGAGAACACTCTGGGAAAACCGAGGTTTCGTCAGAAGGTGTGAATGCTTGCGCGTCACTTTTGGACGTCGAGGAGGGAAAGAAGGTCGGAAGAAAGAGGTCAGTGCGGGGCGTCTTCGCGGGCGTCTTTACCTCTTTGCTGCAACCTTGAAAAAGCCGCCACTTCCAAACCTCGGTATCTTGCTGTATGGGCTTTACTCCGCTTACAAGGTTCTACACCAACGCGTCGAAAGATCAGCTTCAGGGGGAAGGGAAATGACTAGTGGGCCGCTTCATTAGGGGACGTCGAGTAAAAAACGGAAAAAGCACGCGTTTGTTGGCCTGAAAAGCGGGCCGAACCTGTGTGAATATTGAGGAGATGATTCGAGAAAGGTGAGAGCACTTAAAGCCTTTGAGAGGGACCTAGACTTTGCCAAGAGGCCAACGAAGCTAACGGTACTGTAAATTGACAGCAAGCGAGGATCGAGCAGTCGTGAAGCCGCTGAGACAGTCTCGGGAATCGATAATGGGCTCGAGAACTGTCTACTAGTTCTCGAGCCCCTTGTCGATGTTTGTCGAGCTCTATCAATGCAGAGAAACGCTCGGGTTACAATCATTGCTTTGTTTATTTCTTGGACGGAAGCAGGACCAGCCACTTACGTTGCCATTTCCTTGACCACCTGCGCGTGCCTGACCTCCAGTGACGTCATCGCCCTCACGAGTGACCTCAGCGTCCCAAGGACCAGCCCCACTGACGTCACCAAGCCCAGCAACGTCAGCGCCCACGTCAGCCCCAGAACCACGCTTTCTCCCCCCCTCCGTCGCGCTCCGCACTCATTTTCCACCGCCTCCAGTGACCCCCGATACACTGCGCTTGCGCTTTGCACGTCTTGCAACCTTCTGTCTTGTAGAAACCCCGCAACCGCAGCTGAGAAAGCGTCACCCGATGCCGAGCTTGCTTCCAAAAGACGCTGGGTCGTGCTCTGTTGTGCGGAGGTTAGTCCGCAGGAAACTGTGGCGAGGCGGGTCTGGCCTGAAGTCCATTCTTGCTGGAGGCCTTGTAGCGCGGCCTGCGCGCTGCTGTTGGTGCCTTCGGATGGGTTTGTAGAGTTGAGGACAAGGCCCAGGGCCACCACCTCTAGGGAGAAGGTGAGGGCAATCTGGTTTGCAGCCTGCGCGGAGACGAACAAAGCATATTTGGGCAAAGTATCGAAAGCAGTGATCCGAACGGCGGAACTCCCGTCAAGCAAACGAAGTTCCCTGCGAGGAACTTCACGGATCCTCACTGCAAGTTGCTGATTCTGCCAGCATTTTGTGCGGACTAGCACAGCTCATGCGTCATGCTTTCGAAGTGTAAGCTTAGAGGGACACCTGAGCTGAACCAGACAGAGCAAGCATTTCAAGCAGTCTTGCTGTCGAAAATGGCATGCTCTTGCTCTTCATCTCGTCCTTTCTTGTCTTAAAGGAGAAACGAGATTGTCAGCTTACCAGTTCGAACCCTTGTGCGTTCCTGTCAACTCCGCTGCTCATGGCCCAGTGAATCAACCCCTGCACCGTCAGCAAGCACATACACACCAGAACCATCGCCAGCCACGAGAGCCGCCATAATGTCGCCACCCCCTCCAAATGGCTGAACTTCTTCCCCCCCAATTTGCCATTCTCCCCCTCCACAGCGCCCGGAGTTCCCCCCGCCTCCCCCCGAGGACAGAAGATGAACGACTTTGCCCTCTGCTGTGTGGGAGGGCTTCTTCTCCACAAGCGCAGCCTCCCCCACCAGCGAGGGGGGGGTGAATTTGTGGGCGGGAGGTTCCCCCGGGGAGGGATGAGGTGCACGGAGCTGTGCTGCTTAGGAAAGACGAAGCTGGCCGCATGCTCCCGGGACAGATTCATTCTACGTCAGCGTGGGGCTACGCCGCCCGGGGCGCGGGGGCGCCAATACACGGGGCACCGCCGGCATGCCGTGCAGGCTTCAGTGCGCGCTCAAACTCTGGAAACGGAAAGGGAGGTTTGAGTACAGCGTCTCAAGTTTGAAATGCTGGTTGGTACTCTGCCACCCCTATTTTCGGAGTTATGTGGAGGCTTTTGTCGGCAGATTGTCAGATCGGAAGACAGCCACGAATCACTTCTTGGAAGCGTGCTCAGCACACACATGATCAGGACTGTCTGCTGCTGGTCACAGACCATCCTGACCAGCGTCAAGCGCCTCATGCGGACTCCCTTAAGCAAGCTTTGGTGAGGACAAGTACCAAGATCCCGATTATAGCCTGACAACTGAATCTCGATTCTGGACGGCTTTCTTTCTTTGGGGGTCTGTGCTCAGCACCGGACCCGCAAATGCAACCCCGGAAGTTGGCGGGTTTGGAGACTGCATGTGTGCATTCTCTGATTCGCCAGCACTCCCAAACTCTTACAATCCACGGGCTCTACTACCGGACAGCATTGAGTGGAAGGCCTGGAAGGGCTTACATTAAGAAATGATAATCACTTCGTTTGTAAGCCGTCCCACGGCGGGCTCCCAACCTCCGCGCATGCAAACCGTCCACCGCTCAACTTTCAAGGCGGCGCTACACTGTTGCTGCAACAAGTAGCAGCAGTCTAAGGCTCCCTTCCAACAAGGTCTGCAGGAACTTGTGCATATGTCTTGAGATGCAGCCACCGCAGAAGATACAAACCAGCGGCGTCAGGCGGAGCGCAATGTTACGTGTCAGAGAATCCTAGTGAACTGCCTGGCATTTCACCAAAAGCACCTGATTGCACTCTCCTCGAAGCTCTCTTTTCACAGGGAACAATAAGGTGAAACAAGGTCGGGGCTTGCGCGCATCTGACAGCATCCTGTCAGCCCTACGCTAGTCTTGACGATAAGCAACAGAGCCCGACAAGAAGGGTACTGACATGCAGCACAGCAGTCGCTTCTCGCAAGTTGCCTGTATACAACCTCTCTCTTCAGATATTTTCAGGCAGATCGGACCTTTAGTCTCATTTAATTGCCAACTCTTCTTGAAGCTTCTGCTGAGCTTCTGCTGGGCTTCTGCGTTGAATCCGATAAAGCCGCAAGTGTACTCAATAAGTACACTTTAGTCTCGTACCCTTGGCACGTGAACTAGGTACGTCTCTGTGTCTTTTTCCTAAACTTCGACCATATTCCATGTCGTATCTTGAACAAGTACCAGCAGACAGAGGAAGTCCGATATGAAAACCTTTCGCATATGGTGAAATCATTTTGATCCGGCCTCTCGAGCCAGCTGGAGAGCCGGAGAGGAGACACATCAACTGGCAAGCACTCAGGTAAAAGCTGCTTCCTGATCAGTGCATGATGCACGCTTCAACCGCGAGATCATAGTCTAATATCCGCCCTGGTGCTGCTGAGTCCTATTGCTGTGCTAGCTAGGAGCCAGCTACAGTAGCTGCTACTGTAGCTGCTACCTAGGCGGGTAGGCATTCTAGGCTGTCTAGCTACCGGTAGTAGGTACAAGTGTTGGGCATTGCCCACCTGACCCGGTCGCTAACCTACTAGCCCGGGAACTGTGTAGAAGTACCCAGGGCTCGAATGCTTCCTCGGGCAACCGGTAATAACGGAATCGAGCAACCGGGTGCAGCTAGTGACGAGGTGGAAGTTGAAGGAACACTGCGCCAACAACCGTCGCTTGACTGGACGGCCACTACGGTAATCCAAATAAGTACCGAAGTACCTACGGTAGGTTAAAAGCTGCGCTCGCGCACAATGCAACCCACCTGGGTCCTAAAGTAAACTGTAAACCCCCCCCTATTATCAGAAGTATTGACCCTACTAGGTACCGTACTACCAAGGTATGATTCCGAATGCTCAAAATATGCAATTATTTTACGTAATGCGAGCCCAAATCTTGTATTATTTTTCGAAATCTGACCCTAAATCCGAATGAGCTCAAAGGTACCCAGGTACCCTGTTTTTCTGGCTTTTCTCCGATACCAGTACGTACCTTGGGTTCATATGGGCTTTGATATCACTTTCCGAACAGGATTTAACAATTATTTTTCCTTTCCGAAAAAGCAGATTCCGACTGCTTATTTGGAATTTCCAACTTTCCGAATGCAAATAATTATTTATTTATTCGGAATCATACCTTGGTAGTACGGGTATTAAATTTACCTTCTGAGGCTTAATAAATCCACAGGACGTCTTTCTTGGACATCAGCTGGAGAAGCTGGCAGTTTTCAACATCAAGGCCACAAGGCGCAAGCTGCAAACGCACTATGTTTGATCAGCATTCGTATCTCGTCTATTACTTTGGCATTTTCAAAACAGTGACATGAGCGCACAGTGCTTGCAGATAGGCTATAGTCAAGCGCTTCGCAGTCAGGGGTCCAGGTATCTTGTTGCTTTCACACCACTGTGGAAGGGCGATAAAGTGGTCCCATAATCCCATGCCAAAGCATTTGCAAAGGGGCTGAACATAGTCCACATGGTTACAGCAGCAAACAATGCGGCCATGAAGCGGCACCTGTAATTATGACTTTGAGTACGACGTTAGCCAGAGCGATGGACTGCGCATTGAGAGCAGCCTCACAATGCAGACCTCTGACTAGTGGGATTACAAATGCCGTGGAACGGCTGCCCAGACTTTTGCCTGCAAACCGATTCATCAGTCATTCCTGCAGCACTAAATCAAGAGAATCGTCATCAAACAGCAGTGTAAGCCGCCATGGAAATCTTCAAATAGGTGGCCGCCACAGTATCTCAGTAACTAGATACAGCAGAAGGAGCGGCAGTTGGCAGCACCACCTAGCCATCGCAGACGCTTCCAATCCTTCCACAAGGTCCCGCAGATTTTCAGCGGCAGCGACTTCAGACAATGTGGACCCTCCAAGCGGAGGTCCTTCGGACGGTACCACAAACAATGATGCCCAGCCAGACCCATCTTCGCTCGCAGAGGACCTTTACAAGCTAAAACACTGGCTTTCATCCAATGGAGCGTTCTTGGGACACATTGACGTCGGCAACGACAGCACGGGGGGCTTAGGTCTAGTTGCCACTCGCTCTGTCCAAAAAGGGGAGCGTTTGATCGGTCTGCCTAAGCATCTGCAGTTAACCTACGATGAGAGCAGCAGGGGTGAAGATTCCGCTTTGTTGCCGATGATTGAGCGGGTCCCAGACCAGCTTTGGGGCGTCAAGCTCGGTTTGAAACTGCTGGCGGAGAGGGCAAAAGTGAAGGGCGAGTTCTGGCCCTACATTCTGAACCTGCCTCAGAAGTTCTCCGTCCCCATGTTCTGGGGTGAGTGGACCGCTTTTTGTACACCACCTTTATGACTGAATTCTGCATGTTCTGAGTTGGGGCTTCTTTGTTGCAGACCAGAGCGTTATGTGATTTGGGACAGCCTGTTGGTTTCTGGAAGGTCACCTCTGCTTTCTCTCTAAAACTGCTGTTCATTGCCGACACCACCAGAGAGCAGGCATGTAACTTCCTTGCCCCCCTTCTGGTCCATCGCTTATGGCTGTGATCTTTCATCGGTGTCTCTCTTCCACCAGCTCGTTCATTTTTTTTGTTGAAAGGAGGACGTGATTTGACAGGGCTTTCCAGGACGGCAGCTACAGTACTTCAAAGAGACTTTTCTTCGATTAGCCAGAAGCTGTAAAAACCTCAAATAACGAACTGACTTTTGTGCACCTCTTCTCTGCAGCGGGGAATGACATCCAGGCCCTGCAGTACCCCCCCGTCATCGAACAGGTCAAGATGCGCTGCCGCTTCTTGCTCAACTTTGCCGGACGCGACCTTCCCGAGCTTCTGAGCCTGCCCCTCTTTGCGGATGGCACCCTGCCCCACCCGTTCAGAGGGCAACCAGTGGATGCAAACGCTTTGGGTTGGGCAATGGCAGCTGTCTCCAGCAGAGCGTTCAGGGTCCACGGTCCAACGAAGCCGGCTGCGCTTCTGCCTCTGGTGCGTCAGTAGGGGAACTCAGATTACTTTTTGAGGTAACCGTGGAAGCTGGATTCTTGAGACTCATTTTTCTTCCTTTCTCAGGAAAGTATCGATGTTGAGGTTGTTTACACAGTGTGATAGTTGATGCGGTATCTGGAAGGGTACCGGTTTCACTTAAAGTTCGGATTGACTTATGCTTTACAGGCACTGTACTTCAACGCGGCCGCCAGTAAAGAAACCCGCAATAACCGAGAAAGTAACCATCCCGAGGACCCGAGAAGTCAGGGTTCTGAGACGCCATTTTCAGCGACCGTGTCATCCATCACGACTGCATGTTAACGCTCTATGTGGTCCCTCTTCAGGTGGACATGTCGAACCACAGCTTTGAGCCTACGTGCCGCCTCCAAGTAGCGGCCCCGAAGGACGGAGTTGCACCACCGCCAGGCATGCTCGAGGTCAGAACAACGATTCTGCTTGCGTATTCTCAGCCTTTCTTATATTGCTTATGGCATCTTTTCAGCTTACCGACTGGTTCGACAAAGTAATGCTGAGAGCAGTTAGTGGACTCGATGAGACTGACGAGGCTCTAAAAGTCGTCTGCGGTTGGTTTTGCCAGGACTTTATCGCTCCGATATTATATCCTTGCAAAAGTGCTCGTAATGCAAAAGCCAAACGCTATCCCTTTCGCAAACTTACTTCGTGATAGTTCGCAGGGTCACTCAACAAATCCATGCACTTCGATTTAAGCAGACTGAAAGTAAAATATGTCCTCGCCTTCAAAAAACATCTTCAGGGACTTGCCAGAAGTGACATTTTCTTAATACAAACCGCCTACTTTCTGCCGTTTCCCCTCTTTTTGCATTCATTTAGCACCGCATCTCATTATCAGCCGGCTGCTAGGGTCTGCAATCCTTGGTGTGTGGTCCAAACACCGTGGGGCGACACGTTCTTCCTTCTTGCCCCCAGGTGGTCGCCCTCACGGACCTCGAGCCCGGCTCCCCCCTTCTCCTTGACTACGGCCCCCTTCGGAACGACTTCTTGCTTCTCGACTACGGGTTCATCATAGAGAACAATCCGCACGACCGAGTCGACTTGCGCTTCGACCTGAATCTGCTGGAAGCTGCCCGGGTCGTCGGGGGGGTGGACGGGGAGCAGTTTGGCGGGGGGGACCAGAAGCGGGGAAACGTGGCCCCCTGGCAGCAAACGGTGCTCACGCAGCTGCGGCTGGCGGGGCCGCAGGCGCAGCTCCAGGTGGGGGCCGAAGCACTCGTGTATCCGATCCGGAGCTTTTGCATTTGTCACATGTGGCCTCTCCTTTTGCCAAGCTCTGTTTTGCGGATCGCTTTCTTTGATGCAGAACGTTCCTATGTGTACTGGGGAGACTGAACCTATCTGAAGCGTTGTGACCGGGAAGCGTCCTTGTATCGAGGTTCGTTACCTGCCCGAGTCCCTTCGCTTGCTGCAAGTCTTCCTACTTCCTGAGAAGCGGATTGAGGATGTTCTTCAAACAGAGTCTCCGAATCCCAAGACGGCCGCTTCTAGGACGTCGGCAGCTTCTTGGCAGTTTGCTCTTGAGCAAGATCTTTCAATCTTTAGCGCGTCAACCTCACCTTCTGTCTCATAGGTGGGCATCGGCGGTCCTGAGTTCGTCGAGGGGCGCTTCATGGCCGCTCTGCGTACCCTGTATGCGCGCACCCCTGCAGATCTGAAGGGGAAGAACCTGGTGCAACTTCAAAACCCGGGGCCGGAGGGCGCCCTTGGGGCGTCGAATGAAAAGCAAGTTTTGCATACGGTGATAGGGGCGTGTGCAGTTGCGTTGAGTAGGTTCCCAAGTACGGCAAAGCAGGACGAAGAGCTTCTAGAGGCTGGGGGCCTGTCGGAAGCGACCGAGACGGCGATAAGGTTTAGGCTAGGGAAGAAAAGATTGCTTACCGCTGCCATTGGTGAGCTAGGCCGTCGGTTACAAGACATCCTTGCAGAGAGTGGAAGGGCGAAAACTGCGAGCGGATTGGCAAAGAAAAAGGGAAAGGGCTTTGGCTGAGATATGCGTGCCTGATTGCAGACAGCTTTCAATTGCAATTAAGGTTCGGAAAACGACTCACCTGTGCCCCGTATCGGAGCTGAAAAGCGCGTCAATGAAAGGTAGAGGGTTAGATCAGTCCTACGGTTGATGCCATACAGAGCCACAGACAAAGGATCGAATGCAAAGGTGTCCCTCAGCTGATAAGTAGTACCTTGGCAAGTCATTTGCCTTATTCTCATGCCCATGATATGGTTCATCATGCATTCAAGCAAGGCCGTCAGGACTAGCTAGGGCGAGGCCTGAGTGCGAGCCCCATGTCTTAGGTGCTCGACATCCAGCATCACCAGACGAACAGTGCTTGCCGCTTTGAACACCCGACGAGAGAGTTCAAAGAGAACATTGCTGAGGCCGCCGCCAGACCCTGTTGCTATGAATCTATATACGTTGCATTATTGGACATGTGGTTGGCATCTCGACATAGGTAGTGTTGTGCACTGCAGCCAAGTTCGGTGCTCGAATCACCGTTGCGCCTGTTGATTGTTGGTTGAACCCGGTGATACGTGCTACAAGCTCGGTCTACCATGCATGAGTAGCCCTAGGTAGTTCACTAAGAATTGCGCGCGCTTTAGTTGCCTGGTGATTGATGCCAGGCCAAGCCGTTTATGACTAATTCAATGCCAGAGTGCCTTTCGGAAACATGTAATTTATGTGATGTTGTCAATCTTACTGGGGAGTATGAAAACGTCTCAAAGAAAGAGGGCTTCTGGGAGAGGTCGTGGCACTGAATCAAAGAGGGCTTGGTAGGCAAAAGGACCCCAGATGATAGGGGCGACGTAGTGTAGTAGTGGGCAGTGACAAGGCATCAAGGGAGACAAAAGCTTCAGCTGTGATTGCGGTCAGAAATCTTTCAACTGCATTTCTGGGCGGCCGTAGTCGCCTGAGAACGGACTCAAACCTTTTACAACGTCCGGTGTTCTCACCTCGCAGGGGAAATCGTCCCACTGTGAGACAACTAGCCTCACTCCGCCAATCTGGCGTGTCATTCCGTCCGGGCATTCGAAAAACATCAACTTTTGAAAAGGTCTGCGGGTAACGTAACCCTGAATCTGTGCCATAGCTATGAATCATGATCCTGTCAGTGACTGCCACAACCAGAGCTATAGGGAGCATATGCACGAGATATGCGTGGGCCACGGCCCACCGTCGTGAGTCCGCGGCGGCCGCGCGTTGTCAATCGGAACCCCCAAACCTTAGCCCTGTCGAGTCGTGGACCGTCCCATCCGAGTCCCAATCCCAATCGGACTCAAATCCGATCGGACGTTCAAGGGATGCGGACAATATGAAAGAACTACAGGCTCGCAACGTGAGGCAATCTGGCCCGTCCAAAGTTGGAAGTTTGAGGTGAACTTCAAGTTGTGATTGCTTGGAAGTTCAACTTGAAGGGGGACCGGACCGAGGAGTCATCAAACGCGTCCGATCATTGCTCTGCACTGCCACAAGTTTCCCGCCACTTTTGTGGGTCCTTCTGTGCATCATGCTTTTTGACAATCTCTGGTCAGGTACCTTAAAATGCTCAAATTCTAAAGCCCTTCTGAGTGCCACTATCACTTTGAGATTTGGGCTCGTCCACGAAGCTTCTGAAAGTATTGTTGATATCATATCACACCTGGGTCCGTCACCTGCTCGCTTGAGAGGATTTGCAGGTTTCTGTAAGACTGTCGTGGCGCACGTGATCGTCATCGTGCGGTCAATAAAGAAGAGACACGCAGCACGCCAGATTGCCATTTGGCTGCGCATACCTCTCAAAGTGTTGAGGGTTGACAAGGGCAGAGATCTTCTAAAAGACAGTACTTAGTGCCGACGTTGTCTGTTGAGGCGGCAAGCTTGCTCATCCGGAATCCCCAGAATGGCGGAGGAACCTGACGCTAAGCGTGCAAAGCTCTTGGAGGGTAAGATTAGTCAAGTCTTGATTATTCTCTCATTGGTGTCAGGTGTTATAATCAAGTGCCTCGAATGTCTTGCTGAAGATTAAATCAAAGTCTGATCAATATGTATTTGATCAAATTGCGTTTAGCAAGCATGGCACTTCCAAATTCAAAAGTTTTTGTGTCCATCATGTTGTCAACTCCTCCTAAAAGAACACCTCTGTTTCTCAATACTTGTGGTGGTAAACCACTAGAAGACTGCTGTGCATTGAGGTGAAGCGGTTTATTAAGCCACTTCTTGAAAACCAGTGAAAGGTGGTGATATATATACTTTTCAAAAAAGCCGACATCCTTACACATCTCTACGGAATTCCATCTGGATTTTGTCAGACCACAAAATGCTCGTTTGTTGTGGACAGAGCTGATTCAGTCTAAAATTAACCACTCTTCTGAAGCAATCAACCATGCACGTGATTCATTGGCGATTATTTCAGGGCGTTTTGGAGCAATGCTGCCACCGAAAGGTCGGCCACCCTCCGCACTGAATGAATTCAAGTGCAACGCAAATGAAGCCATCACGTTCCACTTGGGTAAGACAGAAGAAGCCCGGAGGGCATCACGATGCTTGGACTTCTATTTTTATCAGTTTGTTCTCCTATGCCTGAAAGACGCAATGCTAGTTGTGGAATCCAGCATTCTGATGTCTCGTGCAATCATTTGTGTTATATCCTTGCTGTGTCCAAGTCTTTCTTGGGCAAAGATGATCACAGATAGGGCAAACGTTTCCTGTCTTATATGGACGAGTTGCCTGTTTTGCAGTATACGCTGCTGAGCAGCTTGATCTTTCTTCGGACACCATGCCAGCCTCAGTCCCTCCTCGAGCGAGCTTCCATCCGCTGATGACGCACCAGCTCTTTGGAGACGACGAAATCATTAAAGGTTATAAGAACCTGAAAGTAAGCCTTGATGGATTCCCATCTGCCCGCTACGGGCAGCCGGACTAATGTCAGCGCTGCAGCTTGCGAGCGCCGCTTTTTACTGCACCCAACGAGGCCCCCCGCCAGCTGCCCCTGTCGAAGCAAGCCTTATCACTTGCCTGCAGAACGTATCTGACGTAAACCGAAAGAGCATGTCTTGACACGTCCATGAAGAGTGCGCGTCTCTTTGAGAATGTGCGACTTCTGGTTGCATTTTCTCAGATTGCTTCAGCTTCTCATGAGAAACGGTCAAGTGCTGTGCTCGCAGGTGGACATCTTTCTGCACGCAACCACTTTCTACGCCTATCTCGACATCAAGTACGAGGAGAAGCTGGAGAAGCTCAGCAGAAAGCAGCAGCCGGACAATATTTTAGAGAAGCTTAAGGTAAACACTTGAACGACCTCTGCCGTATCTGTGGCTCTTCACTGTAGGGCGATTGAAGTTTTACTCATGACAATATTGCAACTTTGAAGACTACCCCCTTGGAGTTATCCTGGCGAACTTGCATGGTCATTGCTCTAACTGCACACGATAGCAGCCCACCTTTTGACACACTTGCTCGAAAGTCAGGCTGTAGACCCACGGGAACAAGACTCGCCAATCTATTCCAGAATTCTAGTCAAGCAAGCTTGGGTTAGGCTTTCGTTAGGTTGAGTAGCCAGGAATTGGTGTGTCCAAAGCTTCGGTCATACTTCGCCTTGGCATTGCAGGTCTACTTTGAGAACGACATCACTGAAGACCGCGAGGCGTTCGTCCGCTCCCTTCCCGTCTACAACGCAATCAATTTCCTTGACTTCGAGCCACAGACCCTGCCTGCGTCAACTTCTGCTCCCAGCACTAGTTCTTCTCACCCCTCTGAACTGTACGAAGTTGTGCAACTTCCGTTGGACAAGGAGGCGGTCCGCCAGTGGCACAATCGCTTGCAGGTGTTCCTCATATTCTTCATAGACGGTGAGTGCGTCATGTGTGATCCTTTTGCCCCTGTACAAAAGTTGGCCCCTAAACCTTTGCTGAGATTACATCGAAGTCTGAAGCGAGCTCCGGCAAGAAAACGCGATCTGACGGAGTTTGCTGATGAGAACGCTTTTGAAAAAGAGACGACGAGACCGTACTTGGAAGAAGCTCGGCAAAGCTTAAAGTCTGAATCATAGGGCATCTCAGAATCACATTCCAGGTCGATTGAAGCAAGAAAACGTCACGCCAGGTGGGGACGCAAGAAAAGTCGACGTCCATCAAGCAATCACAAAACCCCTGCTTCTCCACTTGTCACAGGTGGCAACTATATCGACACGGAGGAACGGGATTGGGACCTTCTCGTGGCTTTGGAGCGGCCGTCGGATTGGGATGGCCGGTCGGGCAGCGCAAAGGTGGCAGGCTTCTGCACCGTGCGCAGCTTCTACTCGTACCCTGAAAGCACTAGGCTGCGGCTGAGTCAGCTAGTCGTCCTGCCATCCTTCCAGAAGAGAGGACATGGGTCCAGGCTGATAGAAAGTGTGAGTGGCTTTGCTTGGCCTCCTTCGAACGTTTTGAAATGCGTGTGGTTTGGTGCATCTCTCTGCCAAGGGTGGACAATCGGTCTCCGTTTCGTTCTCACAACCGGCCTTGAACGTGCTTGACTCTAGAGATATAAGGTCTATAAGAGTCTGATTGGGCCGCTTTTACATGGGATAGAGGTTGTGGTCATGGTCTGACAAAGAAGGATCGGCCTCATTTGTGATATCTAGTGTACGCCTAAACCAGGGTGAACCTGCCTTTCGGTGAGATGTCATTTCGTACTTGTCGACTCTGAAGATTGGCCAACGGCAAAAGTGAAACGGCAGAGTGAAACGGAAGACGCGTCGTAAATCTGCAGCGCAAGTCTATCTTTCTTCAGACCGTCTTGTTTGGTTCTGTATCTATTGCGCTGAAGCCTTTGGTGCCTGGCAACAACTTACATCCGCCCATTGGCAGTTGTCAACCAACTGTTGTTTGACAGTTACAGAACCTTTTCGAAGAGCGTACCAGATCCTTCATGGGTATTGTCGAGCTGCGTAGTAAAGGCTTCGGTCACGGGAGACATTGTAATTGCCAGGTCTACATCCCTGCAAACGGACGGGAATCCCCAATCCGCACCGTTCTGAATGCTTCTTCGGATTCGACTCAGGACTTGGTTTCATGGAAAATATTCGCCCAGAGTCGCATCTAGCTTGGAAATCGTTCTTAATAACATGCCTTCTTTATGTGCCAGGTGTACCATCTGGCTCAGGAGCGAGGCTGCTATGACGTCACCACGGAGGATCCGACGGACGACATGAACCAACTCCGGGACGAAGTCGACGTGAAGCGACTGCAGGAGCGGCCCGAGGTGAAAGAAGCCGTAGAACGAGCGCTGGCAGCGGCGGCATCGCAGAAAGGTGAGCAAGACTTCAGTCCTGTTTGAACACTCGGTCTCGCTCTTACTCAGTGCTTTGACATCTTGTTCTACACGATTGGTTTTTGCAGAACATATTCTTTTGTCGAATCGACTGGGGCTTTTGCTGATGCCTGCCTCGATTAGGATGTCTTGAATCTTCGAGGGCGTCTATCACAGGCTGATAGAAAAATCTGGAGATTTTCATCAGCTCTTTTTCGTCATGTTGGAGCCCAACGTGAGGACTTGTCGGTTCACCGCAACGAGCATGCGTGTGAACGAATTGTCAGTGTCGCTGCAGAGGAGTCCAGTGGAGCAACTGAAGGGGAGGCGCCTAAGCAAAAGAACCCGCTAGCCATCAGCCCAAGCCTGCTCGAAGATCTTAGGAAAAGCCTCAAAATCAATAAGGTGAGGCTTGAGTGTGAACTCCTCCATCCGAAACATGGCCCGAATGAGACATTCAGAAAGTAAGTGCTTTACGTCACATCCGCTGGACCATCGGGGTCAACATCCGTTCAGTATTTGCCCCGTGTCTCTCCGTTTGAGGATAAGTCACCCCTGGGCAACTCCCCAGGACACAAGCCCTCTTGGCGCTTACATGCTGACAAGTCCAGTCTGTTTGTTTGGCAAATCAATACTTGTGTCAAGCGCGAGTTTTCATAGCAAGCACAATACCAACAAGAACCGCTTTCTACTTTCTGTCGAGGCCCTGTGTGCGCAAACGGCCAACTGTCGCTGCCAAGAAGAGCGCGTTTGTTTTCGAGCCTTTGCTCACAAGTCTGACGGCGGTCCGCGTGGCCCCCCGCTGCAGAAGAACATCAAGAAGTGCTGGGAGGTGCTCCTCTCGCTGCACCTAGATAAGTCCCCCCCGGTCACGCGGGACGCGTTCCTGCGCCTGGTCATCCAACGGTTAGAAACCGAAACCTTCGGCAAGAACGCCGACAAACCACCGACTCCAAAACCCCCAAAATCCCTAGCCACGAGACTGGGCAACAGCAGTCCGTGGAGGACG